GGAGCCGGGTGCGGCACAGGGGCGGGGCACATGCTGCGGGCAACAGGCGACCCTTGATTTCATTCACCCTGCTCCCTCCCCGCCATCCATCTGCTTGGCCATTCCCCCTTCCCCTCCCCTTCCATCTCACCGACTCCCCCGCCCCTGCCCCAGGCCATCTCCGTCCTCCTCTCTCCAACTATTGATAAACTAGGCAAATATTTATTGATAAACTAGGCAAATATAACTTAGATAGGGCCACGATAAGGTGGGTGCATAATTGGCTGGATAACCGTAGTCAGAGAGTTGTTGTTAACGGTGCTAAATCCTGCTGGAAAGGGATAACAAGTGGAGTTCCTCAAAGGTCTGTTTTGGGACCCCGTAGTCAGAGAGTTGTTGTTAACGGTTCTAAATCCTGCTGGAAAGGGATAACAAGTGGAGTTCCTCAAGGGTCTGTTTTGGGACCCGTACTGTTCAATATCTTCATCAATGATGTAGATATTGGGATAGAGAGTACTCTTATTAAGTTTGCAGATGATACCAAACTGGGTGGGGTTGCGACTTCTTTGGAGGATAGGGACATAATTCAAAATGACCTTAGCAAGTTAGAGAAATGGTCAGAGGTAAACAGGATGAGGTTTAATAAAGAGAAATGCAAAGTGCTCCACTTAGGAAGGAACAATCAGTTCCATACATACAAGATGGGAAGCGACTGTCTAGGAAGGAGCATGGCGGAAAGGGATCTAGGGGTCATAGTGGACCACAAGTTGAATATGAGTCAACAGTGTGATGCTGTTGCAAAAAAAGCAAATATGATTCTAGGTTGTATTAACAGGTGTGTTGTAAGCAAAACTCGTGAAGTCATTCTGCCGCTCTACTCTGCGCTAGTTAGGCCTCAGCTGGAGTACTGTGTCCAGTTCTGGGCGCCACATTTCAAGAAAGATGTGGAGAAATTGGAAAGGGTACAGAGAAGAGCGACAAGAATGATTAAAGGTCTAGAGAACATGACCTATGAAGCCAGGCTTCGTGAACTGGGCTTGTTTAGTTTGGAAAAAAGAAGATTAAGGGGGGACATGATAGCGGTTTTCAAATATCTAAAAGGGTGTCACAAGGAGGAAGGAGAAAATTTGTTCCTCTTGGTTTCTGAGGACAGGACAAGGAGTAATGGGCTTAAAGTGCAGCAGGGGAGGTTTAGATTGGACATTAGGAAAAAATTCCTAACTGTCAGGGTGGTCAAATATTGGAATAAATTGCCAAGGGAGGTGGTGGAATCTCCCTCTCTGGAGATATTTAAGAACAGGTTAGATAGACATCTGTCAGGGATGGTGTAGGTGGAGCTTGGTCCTGCCTTGAGGGCCGGGGACTGGACTCGATGACCTCTCGAGGTCCCTTCCAGTCCTATTATTCTATGATTCTATAACTCCTGCTGGACCCCTCTGCTGTGTCACGCTCCCTGCATGGATAATATCAACGCAGGCTCTCTCCAGTGACAGTGATGAAGGGACTGTACATGCACCCCCCTCCGCACTCTGTCTGTCTGTCCCTCGCCCCCCTCCCATGCAGCACACACTGATGCAGGGAATCCCGGCTCACCCCTGACTCCATCCTCCCCTCTCTTCCCAGGTGACGGACATGATGCAGAAAGCCCTCTTCGATTTCCTGAAGCATCACTTCGACGGCAGGTGTGGGCCCCCCCGGAGAGATGCTGCCACCCCGAGGGGCCCTGGCTGGGTTTGTGGCTCTTGTGGGGGGTGGAAGGGTCTCACCTTCCCCGGCCAGGGGCAGGGCCGGAGAGCCCTGCCTACCCATCCTGCCTCCCTCTGAGCCAAAGCAGGAGATGGGAGGTGGGGGAGGGGGTGTCGGGATTCACAGCACCAGTGTATGTGGATGTGGGGTGGGAGGTTGCTCCCCATGTGGTGCTGGCCGATGGGCTCAGAAAGCCATGGGCCTGGTCAGACCCAGTCCTGCCCCCCTCCCGCACCCCGGCCATGGCCCTTTTTGGGCTCCAGGGGAATGGCGTTTTATTCAAAAGCTGTGTTCCTGGAGTCGCCCCACGTGACGGGACACCCTGGTGACAGGCTCCTTAGGGGACAAGGGAGATGCCAGCATGTGGGTCGCCTGCTGTCACTCCGGCCTCATGCAGGGCGCTCCCTCTGAGCTAGTCTAACCCCTGCCCATCCTCTGCCCCCTCTGTCGGAGGATCTCCCAGCACTCCGGGAGCACGAGGGAATTCTCCCCGCCCTGAAACAGGCTGTTACTTTCGCCCCATTTTTGCAGCTCAGGCTCGCGAGAGAACTGACGACTTGCCCACAGTGAAGTCAGTGGCAAGAGTTAGGCGTCGGGCGCTCTTGCCGTGTGTCCCCTTGCTGGGCAGGGGGCCATGTGCAGCCCGGGGCTGGAGTTCGCACCCTGACTTCGGTCCCTAGGGCTACTTTGGGGGCCTGTAGGCCGGCCCCGGTGGGATGGGCTCCCTGCTGGAGCCAGGGCAAAAGCCAGAGGCCTCCCTTCCCCCTTCATGCTCTTCTTCTCTCCGTCCTGCTCAGAATCTCCATCACGCGGGTGACGGCCGACATCTCCCTGGCCAAGCGCTCCGTGCTGAACAACCCCAGCAAGCACACCATCATCGAGCGCTCCAGCACCCGCTCCAGCCTGGGTGAGGCCGGTGGGGGGCGGGGGGAGCTGGGGAGCGAACCCTTTCCCACACCCCAGCCCCACTTGGCTGTTCCGGGCCTGCTTTGGTTTTGGGCCCTCTCTCGCTGGGACCGACCGCCTGGCTTTGGAGGGGGAGCCCTCCTGCCTGGCTTGGATCTGAATTCACTGGGTCCTTCATCCCTGCGTCCTCCCTTCCTTTGCTCCCCAGTGGCCCTGGAGTGCCCTGCCTGCCCCAAGGCGTCCTGTCCTGCCTGCAAGGGCGCCCCTGCTCCATGCTCCTCGCCCGCTCCTGGGCAGGCCAGGCTGGCGTCTCTCTCGCCCGCCTGTGCTACGTGGAAAGGGGGTTGGCGCTCTTCTCCTCAAGCGTGCTGCGATGCTTGGCCACCCCAAGCAGGACCCCCACCCTTGTGACATGCCTCCCATTCAGCGGGGCCAGGGCTGCTCTGCTGTCCGTGCCGGGTGACTCACATGGCTCGTGTGAGCTGGGCCTGCTGCCCCCTCTGGGCCGGGCTCGGGGGCAGGGGGCCTGACACTGAACTCCTGGGACAATCGGTACAATTCACGTCCTCTTTTTTCCCCTCCCCCCTTTTCTTTCTTTTCCCTCCCCCTTCCTCTCCTTCCGCGCTGCTTCCTTCCTCCCTTGCTCCTGGTGCAGATGTCTTGGGTATGTAACTTCAACCTCTCGGGGACCCGCCCAGACCGCTCCCTGCCACGCTGCCTAGCCGGGGGCCGAGGGGGTAGCCCCCTGCTCCTCCCGCCAGAGGGACCCGTGTCATTCCCGCAGGGCCACCAGGGGGCAGCAGAGCAAGGTGGGGCCAGAGTCTCCCACCCCAGGGCTGATACAGGTCCAGGCATGTGGGGCCCTGGGGTTTAGTTTGTCCCCAGCTCGGCGCAGAGGAAGGGGGGGGTGAGCGTGCCCCCAGCTGCAGGCCCCGCCCTGCCCCGTGCTGGATGATCTTGGGCAGCGTCGCACGTTGGGTGCGTGCCCGGCGACCCCAGTGTGCAGCACGGCCTGGCCGTTCCCCACGCCAGGACCCGGAGACACGTCCCTCCCGCCTGGGGAAGGAGGCGGAGCCGCAGCGAAACCCACGTGTCTGGGAGGGGCTCCCGCTGCCTGTGGGACACACAGACCCCAGAGGATGGCTGCTTGCTGCAGCGCTCCCCACTGCTGCCCCCAGGGCCGGCCCACAACATTTTGGCACCTGAGGCGGGGAGCTCAAATGACGCCCCCATGCTCCCTCGCTGGAGCCAAAACTTTGAAAGGTCTCAATTCTCTGGGTTCTAGGGGCGCCCCGCCCACAGTCTGGCACCTGAGGCAGTTGCCTCAGTTCCCCTCATGGTAAGGCCAGCCCTGGCTGCCCCACAACCCTTCTACCTCTCCCCTTTCTTCCACACAAGGTCTGCCCCTACTACATCACTTCCCCTGTTGCTGTGCCCCGCAGCCTCCGCAACATACTGCCCTGGTCCTCCCCACCTGACCCCTTCCCTCAATCCTCTCCCCCTCCTCTGCCTCCCCATGTCTCTCACAGTCTCTCTGCCCCTGGCCCTCACCTAGAGCTTGCCCCTCCATTTCTCACGGTCTCTCTGCTCCCGGCTCCACCCCCCGAGAGTCTCTCACTGTCTCTCTGGTCCAACAGCTGAGGTGCAGAGTGAGATCGAGCGGATTTTCGAGCTGGCCCGGACACTGCAGCTCGTTGCTCTGGACGCCGACACCATCAACCACCCGGCCCAGCTGGCCAAGACCTCGCTGGCCCCCATCATCGTCTACATCAAGATCACCTCCCCCAAGGTCAGTGTTCCCTGGGATTTGTTTTCCGTCCGTGTGTGGTATAAATTTTGTTCTGTGCACCGAGGCGTGTGCGGATGTGCACCACCACTAGACACACAAGCTGTGGGCATTGCGGGCGCTCTGCTAATCAGCTGGATGGCATTTGAATCCCTCCTGGGCAGCCACCCTAGCACTCAGCTTCCGGGGACACTGCCCAAGGTGGGTGCATTGGACCCTGCAGAGGGGTGGCTCAGATCTTGGGTTACTGGTTACTTGCTGCCCAGAACCTCCCCTGCTGGGGGGCCCAACAAGTACCAGAGAGAAGAGGTGCCCTGGGACCGTTCCCCTGGCACGCAGGTGCAGGTATGTGCTCTGCGGGGGCCGTGGGGTGGGAGTGGAGCCCCTCAGCTCTCCGCCATGCGTCCTAACCCCCCGCGAGATCTGCAGCTGGGCAGGGACATGAAATCCCCTTCTACTGCCCCGTGGAGGCAGGGCCACTCCAGCAGGGGCCACCGGGTGCAGCAGGGCAAGTGCCCCCCGGGCTCAGAGCCGCTGGTGCTGCACTCCCTGCGCAGGGCTCACATGTCGGGGGAGGCCCTGCTCTGTGGGGTGGGAAGGGGGTGAAGTCAGCCTGGGCAGCTGTCCCCTCCCTGCGGGTCTCTCCCACCCCTGGTCCCCTGGCGCTGGGCATGTGGGATCTGGGTTTTGGCTGGTCCCCTGGTCAGAGCAGAAGGGAGGGGAGAGGGTTACGAGCTGTAGGGTCGCAGCCTTCTCCTCGAAGGGACGTGTCTCCCCAGGCTGGGATGGCAGGGGCTGCGGCTCGGGACTGAAGGGCAGCTGCAGAGCCGGGGATCGGCGACCCCGTTTTAGAGGAACAGAGCGGCTCTGCTGTCGGAGCGCTGGGCTCAGCAGCTATGTCACCTCTCTCGCCCTGCGTCAGCCCCACGCGCCCAGCCTCTCCCCTGGGGCCTGGGCAGACCCTGCCCCTTCCCGCCCCCGGCGCTCACTCCTCGCCCCTGGCCGCCTGCAGGTGCTTCAAAGGCTGGTCAAGTCCCGGGGCAAGTCCCAGGCCAAGCACCTGAATGTGCAGATGGTGGCTTCGG